AGAGTAACCAACTAAAAGATCTATACGCAACAAGTGTAACCAACTAAAAGACCTACATGCCACAAATGTCACCAACCAAAAATCTATACCCAACCAGTGTCACCAACTAAAAGAGCTGAACCCAACCAGTGTAACAGATATTCATGACCACTGACATCCGAATGGGTTTAATTGTAGACGTTAAAGGGTGTTTTGGACGCGCTACACCAATGCATTTACAGCACAATGTCCACTTAAGAACTAAAATGGGTTGCAAATGTATTCGTATGCTAAAATTGGGATGATTTTGAAAAACAACCCCAAAATTGCTTTGAAATAGTGTTTTTAATAAAGAATAAAGATGACACCCATCCAAGACACGTTAGTGTAAACTGACTTACCATTTTAAACTGTGTAGAACTTCAACAGCTATTGATTGTAGAAATGGGTTGTACAATTTCAGTTAATATTTGGCAACTAGTATATGAAATGAAATGGGGTTTAACGTCATATTTTTCTGCGCCAACTGGGCCAATGAAGAAGAGAGAGGTAATGGGGTTAAATGTCATATATTTAGTCGATCAACCGGGCTAGGGTATTTTTTAACGCACCGACCTCCCGATCCGCTCCACTAGCAATCCAGGGGAACTTTCTAGTTAGTGAGCGGGCGTCAACTTAACGCGAGACATCAAGTAAGCGTCAACACGAACGAAATCCGGTACTTAATATTTGTATTTTTAAAAAAAAAAAAAATAAGAGTGAGGGGGGTGTCGGGTATTCTAGAATGATCAGTAATATTTAGATTTTTGAGCATGAAGATACTGGACAACACGACGATTACTTAGGAATTTATTTCTAGCGACGTTTTGATGAGGGTTCTCCCGTCTTGACCAGACAAAGAAACGTCGATCTTGTAATATAAACTACGGTCCAAATTGGAGTTTTTAAAATGATATATCGAGTTTTACGGTATGAGGAACGTACAGAATCAGGAATCGATGACCTAATTTTTTGCTGATGAATAATAGGAAGATAAATATAATGTATTTTATTTCAATCATTGTTTCCCATCCGTTTTAGAGTATTATTATTTTTTATAATGTTTTACTTAAGTTTGTAAGTGAAATATCCGTTTTTATTTTAAAAAGAAGAAGTAAAATTTTAGTATTTAGAACAATTCATTTCCTTCCTTGTTTCATCGTTCAACTGATTCCTAGAAAAATGCATACAAATTGCGTCCCTTCGATTCAATTTTAACAGACGTTGAGCAAAACTTTCCAATTGGTTCCAAAAATAAGACGGCAACTCTTCCATTTTCGTTTACATGAACAGTAACATGATACAGCGCCGAGGAAGCCATTAATTGTCTGCTTTATAACTAAACCACGGATGGACTGTCCTCTATTTTAAAATATATACAGGGAGCAGGGCAGTGCACGGGAGATGTTTGAGTGGAATTTGTTTAATATTACACGTAACCTCACTGAGTTTCGCTGTCTTGGTTGATGACATCGCCATGAGGAAGGTTGTTAAAGTTAGCTCCGACTAGTCTAATGAACACGGATATATTAGTCTGGAGGCTCAGCGCGGGGGGGGGGGGGGGTATCCATCATATGGGCACAAAACCAGACCCAACTTTTCTAGAATAAAATTTTGCGTAGAATACGATGCGACGTTCCAAAGTAAAAGTTTGGTGCTAAGACCACCTAAAGATAAATTTTAAATGTTCCTATTATTAATTAGAACAGGTTTCGCTTTAGTTTTTATATTATACGCCGACATTTATTACTTTAAATCTTCCTAGTGCTAAAACGGAAAATGTGACCTTTTGACCTCTGGGGTCACAAAGAACAAAGGTGAATTTAGCAAGTTTACATTTTTATTGAAAGTGTGATAACTTTCGATCATTTTCAGCTTATTTTCATGAAACAAGAATCACCGCGCATTCACTTTCAGTGCAAATGAACCCATTTGACATTTGACCCCGAATATCTCGAAAACGCCCCAACGGCGGACTGATTAGCGGGGAAAATTTTGGCAGGCTTTGTGACGCGGCCTGCAGGCTGGAGTCCAGCCATGGAACTATTTAATTGCTTTTTTCAGACAACTAGTATCTTTATGTATAGCATTCGTTGTAAAACTAATTCGGAGAGATTTTGATTTAAAAGTTTTTACGTATTTTTGAAACAGGCTAAAGGTGAATTTAGCAAGTTTACATTTTTATTGAAAGTGTGATTACTTTCGATCATTTTCAGCTTCTTTTCATAATACAAGAATGACTGCGCATTCACTTTTAGTGCAAATGAACTCATTTGACCTTTGACCCCGAATATCTCGAAAACGCCCCAACGGCGGACTGATTACCACTCGGCATCGTATTCTACGCAAAATTTTACTCTAGAAAAGTTGGGTCTGGTTTTGTGCCCATTTGATGGACACCCCCCCCCCCCCCGCGCTGAGCCTCCGGTCTATATACCATGCAGTGTGCTATGAGAGAATGTTGGCCGGAGAGCGGCGCTATGGCCTACTCTTATATCAAATTCCAACAATCAAGGGGTAATTTACGTGTACCCGAATGTGTAGACGGCACTTCGATTTTACGTCTCATCCGAATGACTGGACAAGGGAAAACCATGCCGGATAATCCAGAGAAAATTTCTCGGCCATCACCGGGAGCGAAGCGGAGACCTGCTGGCTAGCGAGCCAGCGCCTTACTGAGCCACCGCGACTCCCTGAAAAGTTCGTATTTACGTAAGATTTAATAATATTAGGTATGTAGGTGAAAATTCAAGATCAGATACAATTTTATTGATTCAATAGAATATCTTAATTACTTCTATTCCACTAGTCACTAGTGATTAGTTTGATTGAAGGGGTCCTGTTTGTATTACAGCCAAGGGTCCCGTGCAATCTTAATCCAATTCAACTTAAAGTAGCTAAGTCCCTAACTCAATATCATCCAAAGTCTTCGACATTGAAAACACAAATTATTTGTCAATTTAAATCAAGATTGATGTTGTGACCTTACCGGGAAAAGATGGGTTTCTGATGTCCAATATTTAAGCCAAAATAAACATTTTACCATCGGTACACGAATCGTGTACCATAATGCCATTCGTAACAAGGGGCTCGAAGGACGTGGCTAGATATATTCCATGTCATGTAAAACGGTGACATCACATTCTTGTCCGGAAAGCATTCGCAATAAATACTATCGACGTAGACTGGAATAACCAGACATTATTATATGCGTTGCGACGCATTTATGTCAATTTCTAGGTCCCAAATAGTAGCGATTTAGCTCCTTTAAGTTACAACACAAAATTAGACTTCAGACATGGAATGAGAGAAGAAATTTAGAAAATATATGCAAGAACTGAAAATAGAAATGCTATGATCAATCTAACCACGTATTAATAATGATGCTGGGTTACATTTGTGGATTCTCATATTCAGCTTTCTTCCTGTCCGACCATCTGGAGAAATTTATGGCATCAAAGAATGTATTATTTTGGTAGACGCTCTTCGTGTTCGTAGGGTCGCGATAACCAAGTGAGCAAGACGCTGGGTCGGTAGCCAGAAGGTCTCGGGTTTGCTCAGGGTTTTGGCCGAGAAAGTTCCTATGGATTTTTCGGCGTGGTTACCCCTTGTCAGTGGTACAGGACAGATGGCCTGACAAGTATAGCGTCTAGTCGTTCGGATAAGACAATAAAAGGAGGTCATGGGTACACATTGGCGTGCACGTAAAAGAACCCTTGACAATTGGAACTCGATATAAAAGTAGACAGTATCGCAACTGTCCAGGTAAAATGTCCCCCATGGTACACTGTATGGCGTATGCTCGTCTTCATTAGGCCAGTCGGAGCAGAACAGTAGGACGTTAAACCCCATTTCATTTCATTGTCTTCGTGTTCCCAGTTATAGTCACAAGTTCAGAAACTGATTTCAGCCTGTGATAGGACACCTCAAATAACTATGGAATTTTCTGGCGTGATTTTTCCTGTGTCAGTTCCTGGAGAGCCTGGCAAGGAACAGAGTCGTCGTTTGGGCGGGAAGAAAAACCCAGATCAGGTGTACCCGTTGGCGGGCACATAAAAGAAACTTGACAGTTGGAATTGGAAATAAGCTATAAGTTGTAGAGTTACTGTCTTGACATAATTTCCCTGGATGGTCTAAACCCCATTTCATTTTGATTATATATTACCAATTCAAGGAGCTAACATACAGTTAATGGAATTTTTTTTTTGTATTGTTTTGTAAAAAAAAAAAAATTATTAGGATTACATTTTTTTAAAGAAAAACAGCAACTTTTAAGTCCTTATTTTTTAAATTTTAAATAAATGTTGGTATTACAATGTAATGAAAATTTTTTAGTTTGTATTTTTGTTCAATTTAAATTGCTTATTGGTCGCCTGGAATATTAGGGTTTTTAAAGTATTGTTTGTTCTTTTATAAAAAATATATCGATCGAACCATAGTATAAGATTACAAGAAATACATTTATAAATATAATCACATTGAGTAGGGTCGTGGGATTGACAAAAGATCAAATTAGTTTCCGAAATAGGCTCCCCACCATTTGTTAATAAATGGAGGAAATGAGTATTTTGTTTGATGTTGTTCAAAACAAAAAAAAAGAAAGAAAACCCAAAAAAGCCGTAAACAGGACATAAGGGGGAACAGTCAAGAGACACTCTAGTTCACATTTCAAACAATGGAGACACAATTAATTTGCATAGGAAGTGGGCTTATTGTCAGATAAGGTGAACTTTGCTTTGGGTTAAAGTGTTGTTGTGAAAGGGATAGTTAATAAGTCGTATCTTTATAGAAAATGAAGAATTATACAACAATCTGTCTGTAAACAAAAGCCATTAAATTGAAACTTGGCGACAAACTTTGATCCTTTCACGAGACCGGAAATGAGTGCGGATATGTTGATAAATGAGATTTCCAGTAGTCTTGATTGTCATAATATGAGCGTCGTTGAATTCGTATTTTATTATGAACTGGATATCAATGTCTTTTTTGGATAATTAAAAAGATAACTGGTTTATTATTGTTCGTAAAGAGTTTATTCAACAAAATAACGTTTGCTTCTGACAGTTGGTGACTGATCGATGACATCATGTGCATATATTCAAGTAAGTTTTTTTCTCATTTCTAGAACATAAATTGTGGTTATGCATACCCCGATAAAGGTTAAATAGCTTACCGCAAGCAGTGGTCTAATTGTTTCTTCATTTATCAACAATTTGAGAACTTACCGTGGACGTTAAATTTATTTTTCTAATAAATATTTTTTTAAAAACTAGGAAAGCAAATTATCAACCCTGTTCAGAATAACCTCCCATTGTAGGGTATGTCAAATATTTACTCAATTCTGGCTGCACTTTTTTTTATCTGAAGTCAAGATTGTTTTTCAGCATGAATAAATCTTTGGAAATTATGACCTGTAATAATCACATTTTTTCCTTAAAAGAGTAGGGCTTGCGCTGTATAAACAGTCTGTAAACTTTGGTGGCTCGGTCACTAAACTGAAAGTTCATCGGGATTTTCAGGCGTGGATCTCCTTTGCCACCGGTGCAGGACGGGGGCCTAACAAGGAACAACATATAGTCGTTCGGATGGAATAAAAAAACCGTAAAAGACCCTTAGGCACTAGTGCCCCCTGTCTTGGCAAAATGTCCATCATAGCACGGCGTATGCCCCTCTTCATTAACCAAGTCAGTGCAGAATAACAGGATGTTAAAACAATTTTATTTCATTTCTTTGATTTTCCTTGATTGACAATTTATTGTACATAGAGCAATAGATGTGTTAGTTTGATCTCTTAGCCTATAGGGAATAAATGACTTTATTTATAATACTTAGTGAATAATCGTATTAACGACTTGTCTAGGAGATATAACGGCCCCGGGATAATATTTTGACCTATAACAGATATTCTTTAGATATCCGTGTTCTGCAAAAGTACACATGTTCGCCTTCTTAATACCGTTCGACAAAATGGCCGCCTTCGGCTTTTATTGCCATTTGAAAATATAATGTGATAGATAGTCGTCGTAACAAATAGGAAGTCACGGTGGCTCAGTGGGTATGGCGCTGGCTCACACGACGGGTGTTGGCTGAGACGTTCCTCGGGATTTCTCCTTGCCAGGCGTGTAGGGTACGGTACGGAAAGGCGCTTTGTCGTTCGGTGCCGTATATACCATTAAGATTTCCCTGGCTCGGTTGGTACAGAACAGATAAACATTAAACTCCATTTCATTTCATTTCTTGGCTCTCACACATAATACCATTTCTAAATAAGTTAACTTAACTACCGTTAGTGGGGAAACAAAAGCGCCCATGACACGTGTCATTTTGAAATGTTCCTCATAGCACACAGCATGGCGTATGCCCGTCGTTTCTTTTTAGAGGATTTCTAATAGGATCTGAAGCGAAAGCGAAAGGGCTGTAGGTAACAAATGAAATGGGGTTTAACGTCCTTCTGTTCGGCTCCGACTGGGCTAATGAATAGGACATACACCATATAGTATGCTATTGTGCTATGAGGGAAATTTCGCCCGTACATCGAATTTCAACTACCAAGGGGTCTTTCATGTGCACGCCAATGTGTACACAGGACCTCGATTTTTCGTCACATCCGAACGACTATACGTTGCCCATTGCCAGCCGCTCCGTCCTGCATCATTGAGGACGAGTCGGGGGGGGGGGGCACTCCGGCAAATCCCGATGATCTTTCTCGCCAACACGGGACCTCAACAGGCTAGCGAGCTAACGTCGTACTCACTGCGCTACCGCGGTTCCTTGTGGGTAACAAAAAAATTAAGTATCGGCTTCCAACGTCATTGAATCAACATTAATACAAATAAATGGAAATTTTATTAAACAATTATGCAGACCATGTCGCGAAGCCGTCAATACAGATTAGACATCGTCTATTACGCACAATAAAATTAATGTGCCCAAATCCCCGGTTTTCACACTGGGGGATGCGTCCCACTGGTGGGACATTTTGCTCTTCCGCGTGGGACACGAGCATGGCTTAGACTCCAGTAAAATCTTCCCAGCGACAGGAGGTTAAGGCCGGTCGCCGGTCTCGGGCTCAGTCGCTCAGCCAACTAGCTGCGAGACGTCTGACTTAGACACTACAACTATGTTGCTTTGGCTCCGCCTGATATCCAGGAACACCTGATGTTACTAAAGTCCGAGGTTTAGAGATATTTTCCCGACCTGGATACAGCTCAGTTTCAAGTCACCAGAAACCCACTCAGTGTCAGGGTTTCGGACGTAAACGATCGAGTTCAAGAGGATCTCGTTCGCTTACGAGAGGATACTGCATCAAAATTAGTGTTTGAAATCCAAACCGTATCCACGTTTAGGATGCGTATCAAACATGAATATCCCGTGTTAACGGATCTCGCCATACAAAAACTTATGAATTCCCCATCGACATATCTCTGTGAGAGTGCATTCTCAACCTTGACATGTATCAAACCAAAAGTAAGAAACCAACAAAATATTGAGTATGACATTCGACTGTGTCTCTCCGACACTGACCCTGGTATCACGAAACTTGTAGCTAAGAAACAAGCCCAACCATCACATTAATATCTGCGAATTGTGAGATGTCGTGACCGTTCAGTTGTTAAAAGTATAGACTATTATATAAATAATTTCTTCTTCTTGTTAGTCAATTCTGCAAGAAAGATTGAAACTTCGTTCGTCCATGGGACGCGTTATTTGGGATGTCGGCTTAAATGTTGAAAACATGGGGTCTAAATAGTTGTCTCTAGGAGGCCGGAACCAATAGTAACTTTAAATATCAAAATAGTCAATTTTAAAGTTAGCAGCTGAAGATCCTGGTATTTCTTGTGTTTAAATGTCTTTTAATTGTTAACCTATATAGCAACAAACTACTAACTATAAACCTTCCAGCCATACTATAGTATAACATTATTACTAATGTAAACTTTCCAAAAATCGATAAGATCATTTTCCAATCTACATTTTTCATGATATCAGAAGTAATGGAGAATTTAAAAAACAAATGTAATCCACCCATCCACTTGAAAAGGTCAAGCCAAAGACAGCTATTACTAGCGTCTATCATAGGCGTTAACAATCACGTTCTCGGTCTGGTAGACCGGATGTTGGTACACTTTATGATTAAAAATTAAAATGAAAACCCAAAAATATTAGATAAAAATTCACTCATATATATATGTTGAGTCATTATGGATTTGTCAGGTCAAGACAAGAATCTAAATTGTCAAAAGAATATTCGATACCACATGCTTATATCGAAATAAATTAAAATTTAACCATTCTATAAAAATCCACATAAATCTGACTCATGTTTGGAAATTTGATTTGATCTGTCTGATTTTCCGTTTCTTTAATTAACAATAGATAGCCACTCATCGGTTAATTAGATTAAGAGTTTCGTATTGAACGTTTCGCTATCAATAATTATTGTGTAATTAATCTATGATTATTACATTAATGACTTAAAGGGGCATTATGTAAGATTGAGATAAAGTGCTAGCCGTTTTCGCTAAAACATTTCCAAAATAGATAATACAAAATGAATACATTGAAATTTCATTGAAATTACTCTAAGTTATCAGTGGCGCAACGGTTGTGGATTTGACAAGATGTATGCTTTGATCAACCACCGTACTGGTCATTCGGGTCTTAACCTCGCTTCTCCATTACTTACAAGCGGCGCCATCCGATTCCGATGGCATCGAGAGTTGATTATGATCTTGTCATGTTAATACTTGTCTAATTAATAATTTATGTAACATATAAGGCCCAAAGAAAGACCTGCAATAGACACCCTTTTTATAGAAGCCGGCGATCACGGTGGCTAAGTGGGTAAGGCGCTGGCTCGCTAGCCTGGAGGTCAGGTGTTCGATCCCTGCATTGGCCGAGAAAGTTCATCCAGATTTTCCGGCGTGGTTTCCCCTTGTCAGTGATGCAGGACGGAGGGCCTGACAAGGACAGCTGTCTAGTCATTCGGATGAGACGAAAAACCGAGGTCCCGTGTACACATTGGCGTGCACGTAAAAGATCCCTTGACAGTTGGAATTCGATATAAGAGTAGGCCGTAGTGCCGCTGTCCGGGCAAAATTTCCCTCACAGCACACTGTATGGCGTATGCCCGTCTTCATTAGCCCAGTTCGGAGCATAACAGTAGGACGTTAAACCCCATTTCATTTCATTTCTTTAGAAGCCAGAAGAGGGTCATGGTGTTTCAGTCGGTAAGGCTCGTGCTCAGGGAGTCGTGGGTTCGATCACGATGTTGGCCATGAAAGATTTTCGAAATTTCCAAGCATGGTTTCCCTCGCCTTCAGTTAGGGCCAACTAACCCTACTTTTAGCTAACACTAAGATATATACAGAAAGCATGTATTACAAAGTTTAGGGTTAAAGGATAGGGTTACCTTACCCTAGTCTAATCCTAAAATAATAAAATAATATATTATTATATAATAAGTAATGCTATGTTTTAATTAAGACTTGATTTTAATTGGTTTATTTTATATATATATATATAGCTTCGACTGGTAAAGGTGGTGTATTACCCAGAAGGAAATGGCTTCATCGCAACCGAACATCGCATGGTACATATAACACAAGTAAGTAAATTAAAGGCCCTACAACACATCGTTCGTATTGGAGAGAGAGAGAGAGAGAGAGAGAAATGGGGGTTTAACGTCCACTCGACACAAACTAGGTCATTTCGGGACTAACATATGGTTTAATTTTAGTTACATAATTCGCTTGCGCGTAGGGGTCTTTAGCAGTGGGAGGAAACCGGAGGTCCCGGAGAAAACCCACGAGTTTGGACAGGCGACCCTACTCCTTGCCACGTACAACCGGGGATTCGAAAGCACGCCAGTCGACTCAATGACAGACTTTATGATACAGCGCGCGCACGCTAACCATTCAGCCATCCGTTCGTATTGGATTTCATTTCATTGGGCATTGTGAATTGATATAACAAAGAAAAAAATGGGAAGTTTACAAGGCAAACTGGATATATCGTTATCAATCGACTTTCAGCGAAATTGGTGGACTGATTTTTGGACCTTTATGCGATAAAACATGGAATATTCCTTTATTATGACAGTCGTGCTACTAGGTTCAAACATCAACCCCATTCTTGCATATTAAGTAGCCTACCGCAATCTTTACTTTTAAATTTGGTCTCGTTCGTCTTAACACTGTTTACCTACGTCGCGCATTTATAATTATTTGTAGAGTCATTGCTCTCAAAACCGTGTAATCGCTTTAAACAGGTCAGACGTTTGGAGATTTTTTTTTCAAACCCCCTGCCATTGTTTGATAAACTCTGTAAAAATTAAAAATCTTGCTTCAATTAGACCAGCTTTCAGAATTACTGCGTTTGTCATCAAAACCATGTATTTGTAAATACTTTAGTTATAAGCATGAATCCTACCAAAATCAAGAATCACCTATCAAATCAAGTTATTGCTCTTGTCATCGAAACTTCGTCATTTGGGGATTTTTTCTTCTTCAAAATTCGAGAGAATTCTTTTCAAAACATCTAAACATTAAAATGGCGATAAGCTCCATAAACAGTCGGACGATTAAACTGCTGGAAGGTGAGTGTTTCGTTACCTGGCAGATTTCTTTAAATTTGTAAACAAAGAACATTGTTCGGAGCAATGGCAAATATAACGTTTGATCACCCCGCCTTCATTAGCCAGGTTGGAGCAAAGAGGTAGGGCGCTAAACACCATGTTTTCTTTACGTTTGGTCACGAATCAAAAGCCTTGTCAATAGAAATGTGTAGTAGGCCTTGGCTTGAAAAACATCGTATACTGAAGTAGATCAATTTGAAGTGGCCCCGTATATAACATCCGTCATAAGTCTAGCAAAAATATTGAACGTAATTAACTCGATAGAAGAATGTGTGCTTGTTCGTAATGTTACAACCCAGTAACACACATTAACTGAGACGTATTCTAATCATAAATAATTAGAGTTGTTCAACTTCTAGTAAATAAATATTTAGTTAAAAATGGGTTCAGGTAAAGTTATATATTTTACATATAAAGTTAGTTATTAGAATTTTACATATAAAGTTATATATTTTACATATAAAGTTAGTTATGAGATATAAAGTTAAGTTATGAGATATCAAGTTAGTTATGAGATATAAAGTTATATATATTATTAGATATAAAGTTATATATTGAAGATATAAAGTTAGTTATTAGATATAAAGTTATATATTTTACATATAAAGTTAGTTATTAGATATAAAGTTACATATTTTACATATAAAGTTAGTTATTGCCTAGTGGATATAAAGCTATGTATTTTACTTATAAAATTAATTATTAGACATAAAGTAATATATTTAAGATACAAAGTTAGTTATTTCGGACATAAAGTTATATACATATATTTTAGATATAATACTAGTTATTAGATATTTTCTCATTTTAAAAAGACATATTGCACTGTCAATGAATGTTTCTTAATTTTTTGTATCTGAAATTTATACTCTCGTAGATGTTTGTTAAATTTTTTTAATCTTAATGTTATACCCTCAATAGATGTTTGTCAAATTTTTACATCTGAATGTTATACCCTCGCAGGTTTTATCTTAATGTTATACCCTCGTAGATGTTTGTTAAAACATCTGATTTCTATCGCAATGTCTCACTGTTTCTGTTGTTTTGCTGTACAGTTATTCAGCATTATTAACGAATTTAAATATTTTATTTGTTGTTCATTTACAGGTACTGGGATTAAATTTAATATGACACAAGGTAAGGTGATAATATAATAATTATATATTTATATTATAGATCCATTTATTCATTAGTCGTGGGTCTAGTCTCGTGTTCTTGTGGACAGTTCGCTTGTGCCTTTAGGAACCTCGCTGAAAACGATGGGGTTGTTCCACGTGTTTATGGGATTGTTCTACATGTTTAAGACGGGGTAGAGCGTGTTTCTTTAAAACTCGGCCCGGGCGGTGGGGGGGGGGGGCGAATGGTTAATGCGTGCGCGTTGGATTATAAGGTCTGTCATTACGTCAAGTTGAAGTGGCGTGGTTTCGATTCCCCGCTTGTACGTAACAAGGTGCAGGGTCGCTTGTCCAATCCCGTGGGCTTTCTCCGGGTCCTACGGTTTCCTCCCACTCACTGCTAAAAACCCACGACGCGCAAGCGAATTATTTTTATAAAATTAAATCCCTATGTTAGTCCCATTTCTTCCCCTCTCTCCCCTTCCTTAAAACGCGATGTTACTTCCCATGTACACAAGACTAAATTCAATTCTGAGGCATACTGACACAGATAAATAACAAAAACTTAATTAATAATGAAAAACAATGCAATTGGGGTTTACTTTCCTGTACGAACCCAGATAGTGAAGAGGGGCATACGTCTTGCAGTGTGCTTTGATAGATATTTTACCCGAAGAGATGCTTTACGTCCTACTCTTTCGATTTCCAACTGTGCCATCAATGACATACACATGAGCTCATTCTTTCGTCCTACCCGAAGGCCTGGACCCTTTCCTTACCGAGCCCTCCACCCTGCAGCACTGACAAATGGAGGGGACCAATAATGAACAATCAATCAAGGATGTCCGGGCAAAAGACTCCTCTGCACACGTGACCATAGAAAAAACAACAGTAAGCTCATCTAAGCTACACCGTGTTAATGATACCTTATACACCACTCATCTCCTATCCTAATTAAATACTAAATAACAAGAACATGATTTAAGGATAAAACTGTTTACGCGGCTAACCATGATGCTTATAACTGCTTTATTTATTTCAGTTCCTCGATATAGCCAGGCTACGACCAATGATATAGATTTTTGGGATTTATCAACCTTAATTGTAGCGGCGTCTATAATATTTACCTTCACTATACTAGCTATTGTCTTGGTTGTTTTCTTGGATAGAAAAAGAAAATTTAGAAGGTAAATACACAGTTGTTGAGTAAGGCCCGATAGTCCCCAAATGAATAGGAAGCATGGTCCCATAGTTCCAAAAATGAATGGGCAGGAAGGTCCGATAGTTCAAAGTGCTGACATCCAAAAGTCCGATAATCCAAAGACCCATAAAATGAAAATGAGATTTTATAATTCTAAGCCCCGATAGTCCGTAGAGTATGGGTAGCTGGATGTAAAATATGAATTATTACGTTTAAATGTTCTGGATTTGATGTTCAGGGCTTGATATATACTCTTCAAAAAAAAGTAGAGGATATTCAGAAACAATACAAAACTGCGGAAATGCACTGCTGTGTTTATTAGAGGTAACCAGTGTATGTTCATAACAGGCCAATTGCCTACACATGAACATAAACAGTTCAAATGGGCGGCTTATCTGACGGCCCCATTTCACTCGCAAAAAGATACACTGTGAAAAGTGAAAATGAACGTTTTTGATTTTTGTCTTAATAATGAGTAATTGCTCCACCAATCCCCAGACATTCACCAATTCGTCGTGGCCCCCAATCAACTGTCCAGTCACGATTTGGGGCAATCTGACCGACTCCTCATGCAGTGCCACGGGCAATTCCTGCAGTGTTGTCGGTTGACGTTGGCGTTGACGTCGACGAACACGTCTCCCGATCAAATTAAACGCAACACACTAAAGCAAAGGTTCGCTAAACAGTAAACCTTATGCAAGAACCGATAGGAAAGCAAACATGGATAGATAAACCAGCACGCAGCAGTTTTCATCAACCCTTCCTTGACGTGTCAAATTTGACAATGAACCCCTCCCACGTGTATGGCGCTATTGCGTGTTGCATGTGCAGCTCAGTGGTTCTATTGGGGCGATAAGTTCTTCATCTGTGAACATACCCTCAAATCATGTCAAATGTGCATGACTATATATCATCTCACAACCTGCATAGGTATTTGCATTTCAATATCCTCAACTTTTTTTGAAGAGTATATTATAAGACGACAACATCTTCCCGAAGATTTTAACTTCAAAGGATGTCCTCGAAATTGACCTGAACGTAAATAGACAACAGATCGCAGGATACATTATTTGTCAGCTCCTGTATCCTGTTCTAGAATAATGTCCGAATATATATTATATATATCTCCTTTCAGAAAATCTATTCCCATTCCAAAACAACGATTTGGGAAGTGCCGTTGTCAAGAATCTGTATACCATGAGATAAAGAAACCCGTAAGTACCGGTATTAGTTGTGACATGAATTTTATTAATAATGTCAGTAAATGGATTTGTCGAAGGGGGGTCGAATGGTCTAGCGTGTGAACATTAGATCATAAAATCTGTCGAGTAGACGTTCAACTCATTTCTCTCTGTTACAGGGGTTTAAGAATATTGTTCAAGATAGCAGGACACGTAACAAATCATTACTGCATTGTAGACGTTTAATATAACTGCCCCTCACCGTCTTTCGACGAAAGGAGGGGTTTATTAAAATGGGTTCGTCCGTCGGTCTGGTACAGTTGATACAGTTGCGAAAATGTACACATTGGTGCGTGTCTAGCCAAATTCTCCATATAGTTTAACTTTCGTTTTGATTATTCCAGGGTAAAGAGAAACGTCATAAAACACAGGGTTGTTTGCCCAGTCGTATCACAAAATCGACAAACTGCAACCAGAGTGCAAAATCCGAGTTCGCTAGAACCAGACGACCCGTGATCCAGCCTGCTGAGATAGCCGATGTCATCTATGAGACACTAGACGGTAAAGATTGGAAACGAAAGAAATATCAAAAAAGCATTAAAGATTCCCCCCTACCAAAAATAGAATCTGCGTATTCCAATCCATTAGACGCTATCCTGCCCTCAAGCCACCCCCCTGAACGAAGACCATCGTCACAAGTCAACAGTGAAAATAGTCGAGGCTCTCAGTATGACAATCCACCATGTGCACACGCTTGTCAATTCTGCAGAAGTCATTCGGCACCGGCAAACAATTCCTCTCCATATTTTGAGCTAGAAAGTCAAACTAGGAAGACTGAAACAGTAGATCTCAACTTTCGGGGACCTAAATACCAAGAAACGGTACCAGAAGCCATGGCACTAGAAAAGAACTACGGTCGCAGGTTGATCCATAGTCAATCGGTTATACTTCATGATAGACTACCACCACAACCACCAATAAGGACCTTACCACCGCCCAGGAATTTCAATATCTATGAACCCAACCATTATCCAAAATTTCCAAGGCGATTTAGCTGCGACAATTGTGCCCAAAGTGCTAATTTATCGAATGAATATTTCTCGCTTGAACAACAAAACCAATCGAGAGATGTTGATTATTCGGAGGTACGGCGAACACACAAGTCTCATATTCCGATTTGCGAAGAAGCGTCTTTTAAAGAATTGGGGTCTAGCAATTATTTTGTCTTAGAACGCGATTATATTCCAAACCAGTTGCAGCCCATGGAAAGTAAAGATTCAGAGTATGACTTCCTTTCCCGTGGAAATTATTCCCGATTAAGCAATCGACAGAGCAACATTCCTATTCATCAAGATTGTGTCCGCCGAATGCTAAGTTTTGACCAGGAATATTTGGATAGGTTAAGAGACAATGGTGGGGTAAGAATTGTATTTCTGAATCAACAGTCAGAAGGACTAGCTAACAATGACACTGATGATAACCAAAAAGTAAAATCTGACTCGGTGTATGATCGACTATATTTTGATTCTAGAAGGGAGTCTTTATTCGACGATAATGACACAAGGGAAAGAATCCATTCATCTCCTGCATGAATATTATAATGATCTATATCGGGACCAGCTCATCTCCAGCATGAACATTATAATGATCTGGGTCGGGACCAGCTCATCTCCAGCATGAACATTACAATGATCTGTGTCGGGACCAGCTCATCTCCTGAATGGGTTTTTTTTTAAAAAAGTGATGTCATAAATAACTGGTTATCTTAGCACGATCGCCCGTTCACTCTATAGTTATTTTTTTACACAATATTTTATTCATTTAAATTTACAAAATTTAAATAATAAATACAAGATACGATAACGGGGTTTCGGAACAGGCTATTCCGGTTATTTCAGGAATGTTTGGAATAAATCAAAGACTTCACCTTGGGAGAAGAGGAGAGATTATTTGTTCATTAATGTAATGGGTCTAGATAATTCTCACATCATTCGGGCCATTTCCGTGGAAATCACAATCTACGAAATTGATCTAAAAAGCTCGGTAGTGCTTGCTTACAGGTTGGATAAATGAAAATGCACTTTATTGTCGTGAATTAATCTTCGGGTCAGTTCACTGTTATAGTTCTCCCAACATCACGGCCCTGTATTATAAGGTCTGTCATTGACAACCGGCGTGGTTTCGATTGCCCGGTTGTACGTGGCAAGGAGTTGGATCGCCTGTTCAACCTCGTGGGTTTTCTGCCGGTCCTCCGGTTTCCGCCCACTGCTAAAGACTCCTACGCGCAAGCGAATTATTGAAATAAAATTGAACATATGTTAGTCCCGAAATGACCTAGTTTGTGTCGAGTGGAAGTTACCCCCCCCCCCTCTTTCTCTCTCTCGCTATCCAGGAAAATTTGTCTTCGTCTGTGGCGCAGAGAAGTAATACGTTAAACCATATTGCATTTTATTTCATATGGATAAGTATACGATTATTCGAATACTTGATAGATGGAACTATTGGAACTAAGCCAGCGAGTTATTTTGTAATATTCTTCTTGATTGTTATTATATATAGACATTACTATATTCACAGCAAAGCAAGAATATGTCCAATTTAATATACTATTTTATTCTTAAGGTATGATTAGATCCAATGTTTAAAGTGCTCTTCTTTTAATTTGTATATTTTTAGTTATTATATATTTGGTAAAATAAAAATATTATGAATACAAAACGTCATACTTTTAAAGACTACATGTTCTAATTGTTCACTACATGTTTACACCCTCTTGAACACTTGATGTCACTTCTTATTTTGTGAAAGCTACATGTGCAAGCCCCACATGGGGTTTATTCGCCACTTGCGTTCTCTTCTCGTCTTCTAGTGGACCGGTTTTCACCGGAATCAATGTTCATATTCTCAACTTGACGACGTTCACTGGAAACAAGGGGGTGTACTAGACGCCGTCCAACAGTTTGTACCATTGATTTATATTTTGTACATTTGAGCTTTTCCTTTAAAACATATCCCTGTACATGCCGTGTGAATGTAATGTGATACGTTTCAGAAGACAAGTGCCAATTTCCTTCTAGATTTTTTTATAATGACGTCATTCTTTTTTTGAGATAATTATCAAGCATTTGCCAAAAGTGTTCCATCGGAGACTCGAATTAATTAATCTTTACAACAGACTCTACAATCGTCTAGCATAAACATCGTGTGATCTGTCGAGGAGGAAATAAATCATTCCAACATAGGTGTGCGTGCAGTTACACTAAATATTCCATTGTTAAGCTCACTTATCGCCGTTTGTTCCGGAATGTTGTAGCTTTAAGTCTGTATGAGAATGCTTTAAGATCCGGATTATGCAAATACCCATTAGGCTGTCAAAGTTACTGAACTCAATGTTATTTATCAGCCTCTTTTGGTCCTCCGGCTTAGTTTTAGAGCCGGTTGACCACCGCCCCACTCTAACCCACTTCGGCATGATCGACTTGTTCATACGGACCAAATTGTGGCTGCAACCTCCTCAGCCTCCGTTAAAATCTTCCTCTGCTTCCACATTATTATCTAAATGGGCATGGGGCGTTGTATACTTGGGGAGCCACAGTGGCCCAGTGAGTAAGACGTTGGCTCGCTAACCTGGAGGTACCGTGTTCAATCCCGGTGTTGACAGACAATTTTCATCGGGATTTTCCGGCGTGTCCCCCATGTCAGTGATGCAGGACAGGTGGCCTGATTAGGGCCAACGTATAGTCGTTCGGATGGGACGGAAATGGGTGGTCTCGTGTACGCATTGGCGTACAGGTAAACGAACACTTGACAGTTGGGGTTTGCCCAGGCAAATTTCCCCCATAGCACTCTGCATGGCGTATTCCCGTCTTCATTAGCGAGAGAGAGAGAGAGAGAGAGAGAGAGAAATGGGGTTTAACGTCCACTCAACACAAACTAGGTCATTTCGGGACTGATATATGGTTCAATTGTATTTCAATTATTCGCTTCTGCGTAGGGGTCTTTAGCAGTAGCAGAAAACGCGGGGGGGGGGGGCGGAGAAAAACCACGAGGTTGGACAGGCGACCCTATTCCTTGTCACGTACAACCGGGAAATAGAAACCACGCCAGTTGACACAATGACAGACAACGCACACGCGCTAACCATTCGGCCATCCAACCCTCCGTCTTCATTAGCCCAGTCGGAGCAGAAAAGTAGGACGTTAAACCCCCATTTTATTTTGTATACTTGAAGTCAATTATTTGTGACCTGCTATCGGGATATTAGAAGAATAAATTGCATGCCATAATGATAGTTTACACACGTTACATATCGTAATATTAACAACTTTCTTGTTTGTGTATGGCCCATTTCGTTAATGAAAGATTGCTATCAGGGATAATTGCAATTTATTTGAACACAGGAGAGAGTTGGATAACTAAGTTCCCAGCTCGCGGTATGGATTGCAGTATTCTGGTTCGATCAAACGATAATTGATTCAGTTAAGAGCTAGCTCGTTTGAAGTCATCCAGGGTTTATTAAGACCCGGAAGCTTTATACAAGTTGTGCGTTCTAATCGCACATAAGTGCAGAAGAAGCGCACTATAACTGACAGAACCCAGAAGTCAACCCATGAAAAAAGATACATCACTTACTGTCACAAACAACATACAACAAAGGCACCATGAAATCGAGTGAATTGATCCCAGGGCTAACCGCAAGCGTTCACCGCGCTTTACAGTCTCGGGTCTGCAAAACGCTCTTCACTGAAAATGAAAACAAACACACAAGGGAGACAATCCACAAAACGCAAACCACGAAAAAGGGAGGATTTTCAAAAAAATTGCACCATTTTAGTGTTTCACAAGTCCAACAGACAGTGTCATAAACACCAAAAGCTATGGAAGCAGTCGCGAAGTCTGGACACATGTCCCCCATCCTCTTCCCAAAATAATCAAAAAATATTTGCCGCCTCAGTTCCGAAGGTTCTACCCTCAACAAAAGAAAGAAGCAAGGCAAAACGTTGTGACCAGCCCTTGCAGAATACCGTCATCAAATTAGCTACAATGGTTATAATTAAAGACCAGCCTTCATTAGCCCAGTCCTTGCAGAAAAGTAGGAAGTTAAACCCCATTTTATTTCATATAATTAAAGCTGCAATCCCACGAAAGTATTTATAGGCTATTAGGTTTGTTATTTCTATAGAAGTATGACATATTTCGTATATACAGAAAAATAATGTAACGGTCTAACGGACAGTCTGCCTGCTCGGGTGACGCAAGGGGTGCTTCGTGTACCTTGATCTAATGGCTAGCGATTGTGAGAACTTTGGGAGACTAAAACATCCAGAAAACGACAGAAAAAGAAGTGGACAAAGTCAGGGCATCTTTACCAATACTGCTGAAAAAAATCAACCCTGTCATTTTGCACAAAAAAATGATCGGCTATTATACTTGAAAGAATTTGAATCTTGGTATGTTGAAAAAAAAGCAGTACATTTAAAATAAAGGGATCTTGTTCTAATAAAAAATATATAGTTGGTAGTCGTCAGATATTGTTCAAATCGAAGTACATGTGAGAGGCACTTTCATCAAATCATTCTAGAAAACGACTTACTAAATGGATCAAAGCAATTTTTTGTGAACAGTATGTTGACACATTAGTGATTAATTCATCACAATTCCAAGACATTACGAGAAGGTTTAGAGCCTGTATACAGTCTATACATCAGTATCTGGTGTGACCACCGCGAGTATCAATAACAGCAGCGCATCTTCTGTACATAGAGTAGACCAGACGGTTGATGAACGCCATTGGCACCTGGAACCACACTCTCAGAAAAGCCTGGCGCAATCCATCGGCTGTGTTTGGTCTCGGTACGAAGTTATTAAGTCTCTGAATTTCATCCCAAAGATGTTCAATCGGTTTTAAGTCCGGACTAAGGGCTGGCCAGTGCATAACGTTGCCACCGTTCTGCTGTAGAAAGTTCCGAGTAACTCTGGCGGTGTGGGCACGGGCGTTGTCATGCTGGAAACGTTGTTTCGATGGCGTGCGAAATGTGGTATGACGTGGGGTCTGGGAGCTTGATCGATGTAGCGCACTGCTGTAATGCCGCCTCCTCTCCCTGGAACAAAATTTTGGAACACTACAGGACCCAGTCTCTGGTTCAGGGGTTTCGACCCCAAACCATTATGCTTGGACCTCCCCATGAGTCTCGTTCCATGACACATTGGTCAGAATAACGCTTGCCACGTCGACGCCATATTCTGGTCCTGTCATCTGCAGTGATACTCAATATCGACTCTCATCTTTGAACAGAGCAGTTTTCCAATGCCTGTGTCGCCAGTTCCGTTGTTGTTGGACAAACTGTAGACGCTCACGTCGATGGCGAGGGGTGAGGCTCGGTCCACCGTAAGGTATACAGCAATGGATGTTCTCTCTGGTGACAAGTCGGCGCACTGTATCGGTACTGATGGGTCTTCCGTGAGTTCCCACTGTGACGTGCTGTCTCAGATGCCTGTGTGAAGGGATTCTACACGTGCTGTCGCACAACATGGCGGTCTTGTCGCCTTGTGGTAACCCTAAGTCTACGAGTTCGGGGGCGATCATCCGTGGTGTTGGTGGCATGAAAGCGTTGCTGAAGCCTGTAGATGGTTCGAAAATGGACATGGAAGCGAATGGCAACGGCTTGGGCAGTGTGGCCAGCGTCGAGTCTTCCAAGCGCCTCGTGAGTCGTGGCATGCTGCTGACGTTGTAGTGTGAATGATTCAAGCAGGTATGGGGGTGCATTTTATACGGCTGGTCCCGGTGAACAGCACGTGCAGCATGAGTTACATGAAAATCATGTAGAACACATTACCATCTCAGAAGTAAGGTTGCGTTTTTGAGAACATTTCCTGGGTTCAATTCTGTGAAGGAGCCTTATTGCTCAGGTAAAGTTTGAGATGTGGTCACAAATACAATAAAAACATTTGGCAAGTTTTATGCAATGCGTCTATTCAGAGTAACATGCCAACCTGACGTTTCTTTTGCTGCTTAGTATACAAAGTAACATCTGGTGAGTTAATATTAACTTCACAGCCGGATTTAACCCTTTTATTGAATATTCGGACAATGCCGTTATTATTTATACCAGGTATTGATATCTATGCCGAGAACAGGTGTCAGTATTTTCGTTATCCAGGACAGGGTAAAGGAAGTGTGTGTGTGTGTGTGGGTGTGTGTGGCGGGGGGGGGGGGGGATTTCATGTCATTTATTTGTTGAAAGTTCTGTTATTCTGTTATAATTGATAGCTACTCTTCAATAGCTACTATATACTTGATTCCCGAGAGCAAATTCATATAATAGGCAAATTAAAAATTAATCATAAATGAAGGGCCATTCCTACTTTTCAATAGCTACTATGTACTTGGTTCCCGAGAGCAAATTCATATAATAGGCAAATTAAAAATTAATCATAAATGACGGTTCATGCCTTTGCTGTATTACCTGGCAACGAGTTCACAAAGCATTCTCAGGCTTAAGAATTGTAAGACGTTTGGGTTTATTGGGTTACCTTCTTTTTTTTTTCTTTTTTTTTGTGGGGATAATTTTGTTTTATTTTGTGGTTTTGGGTAAGCGCTAGACATCCAGATACCAGAAAGAAAACAACTTACTTGGGAGAAATCCAGGAAACCACTGTTATAGGTCCTTCCACAAAGTGAAAGATGTTAGTTTTTCTTTCGACTCCACTCCGAAGCTGGTTCAAAATCTATAGCGTCATTTAACAGACATCAAAAATATGTCCAATATTATCACTAATCCGAAATAAATGTCTTTGAATCTCGACACGAGCTGTAAAACATTTCACTCTCCATTTTGGGGACTGTAGGTTTATTCGAGGGTTTCTTTGTCTGAACTCAAAGTCCGGGCTGTTGCCCTAAATATCTATACATAGTTAGGCCACGAGTTAAACCGCATTATTCCAATTAGCCTTTGGTGGAAAAGCCTCAAAGATCTTCTTGAAGTTCTTTGGGTAAAATTCTCGCGAATGTTTGAGCAACCTGCTGAATCATGAATGAAGGGGTGGCTTGAACATCTTTTAAAAGTCAAAGATTCAAAATGGCAAAATGTTACTAATGTTATTTTCCCTCTCACAGTCTCACAATCCAATCGTAAGATATGTTTATCTCAAAATGTAAATGGTCAGTATATATTTTGCCCTGGATTATCACCGATTCATAATATAACAATAAACACTATGCAATACCGTACTTTCAGTTGAATCCGTGTCCTATAATTGAGCGTAGGGTGTATTCGTGTTTCCGGTTGAAGAAGGAGTTGTCTCTCTTGGAATTTGACAGATTAAAGGAGAAAAAAATAACAACACTCCTTATTTCTTTTAATTTGTGAATGATAATGGTGACTTGTTTCTGTAAGGAAAGGGTTTAGTTAGAATAATAACAATGGGTGCTGAGGATGCCCTGGAAGCTGCCAAAAATGGAGATTTGGATACTTTAAAGTCAATTTCTGAAGTTGATAAAGTGAAGGACCAATATGGGGCTTCTTGTCTACATTATGCAGCCAGGGCTGATAAAGTCCACATCCTGGAATTTCTTGTTAAAAATAGAGGCCTTGATTCTTTTCTCCGCAGCAATGTTGGTGCTACCCCTGCTCATGATGCCGCAGCATCTGGAAATCTCGCAGCGTTAAAATGGCTTCTCTCAAACACTCCTTCTAAAGTTGATGACCAAGACGGTACAGGGGCCACAGTTGTTCATTTGGCTGCCCGATATTCTCACCATGATGTATTAGAGTGGTTACTGGATAATACAAATTGTGATGTATTAAAGAAGACAGGAAGTGGGGCCATACCCCTACATTTTGCTGTTGTCGGTGGTGCGATGAGTTGCTTGAAACTTTTACTAAGTGAAGCCCCTAGGTAAGTATATATATTATTAGGATAGTTTATAGTGATGAGCCCATATGGGTCATTATAGTTTTATAAATATCAGATAAATGTACTTTCCAACAAAATATCTAATTTATCTATCCATACTGATATAAATACCGAAGTACCGCCGCAATGTCATTTTTACATACATTGTACATGCACATCTTAATTAAGCCTGTGTATATTCTTTTTCCCCAAATTATTTAAAATTCTCCTTTTTTTAAAAAATAGATCAGTCAATACACAATTAAATAATGGAGTTACAGCATGTTACCTAGCTTGTCAAGAAGGACAGTTTGATATATTGAAATATTTAGTCGAATCTGGTGGAAATTTAAAGATGAATTCCTATGATGGAATGACTTGTGTTCATACAGCAGCTCAACTAGGTAGACTAGAATGTATCAAGTGGCTGGTAAGTAAATTGAAATATTTGTTGAATTTATATATGCCTTAATAATAAACGTTGTACATGTATAAGGCTACATCAGTTTCAATTTTTGTTCTTCGGAACAATTGTTAACAATTTAACAATTTTTTGTCCTAAAAGTATTTCGTCGGGGGGAAAAAACTAATTTAAAAGCCAAAAGTACTTGGTTGCTCTTCTCAAAAACTTTTAGTTGAAGTTGTTTAGGTTTGGAACTATCATGGACCTTATGGAAATGTTAAACATAACATTGTTCACAACTAGTTTGACCTAAAGATAAGGATCAAACTACCAATTAAGAATTAGAATTTAATTTATGAATTTTTTTCTATTTCTTAACCCTTCAACACCGAGTAAATTGAAATATTTGATATGCTAGAGAGAGTAACTATTTCAGGTGGTCATTACTGTTTTCCCTGCATTACATGTTTGTGAGATATGAAAAGGTTGTCATTAACAAACTTATTCACATAATGCATTATAGATATAGGTCTTGGTTATAAACAGTCTGATGTGGAGCAATCTACCATGTTACAATATGTATGTTCTTTTTATTGTTCTATTGGACAGGTGGGAGAGCAAAAAATCAATCCAAATGTAAGAGACTTTGATGGAACTTCACCCCTACATTTCGCAGCAAGTCGTGGTCATTCAGAAATCGTTAGTTGGTTGTTGAAACATGGTGGTGCTAGGATCACGCTTGATAACCTTGGAGGAAGTCCTCTTCATAATGCTGTGGAACTAGGTTACCCAAAGGTTAGTAAGTTTGCTTTGTCATAGATATCTGTCTTATTCTACTCTCTCCATAAAATAGATAACAAGTTCCAGTTTAAAAGAATATTTGCTTTATTCAATGGATAAGCACTTTTTAATAGTAAGTAAGTTTTATAATCCATGTGGTGGAGAGGCCACAGTTGACAGCATTTAAACAAGAGGCCATTTTTAGTAATTTACAGGCTAATTACTTTGGAAAGTAAACTAGACAGACTATTTTAAACTGTTTGACATTAGGAACCGAATTTTAATAAATTGCCGGGGGGTTGGATGGCTGAATGGTTAGCGTGCGCGCACTGTATCATAAAGTCTGTCATTGAGTCGACTGGCATGGTTTTGAATCCCCGGTTGTACGTGGCAAGGAGTAGGGTCGCCTGTCAAACCTCGTGGGTTTTCTCCGGGTCCTCCGGTTTCCTCCCACTGCTAAAGACCCCTACGCACAAGCGAATTATGTAAATAAAATTAAAAACCATATGTTAGTCCCGAAATGACCTAGTTTGTGTCGAGTGGACGTTAAACCCCATTTCTCTCTCTCTCTCTTAATAAATTGCCAACAATGTTTGAAACTAAACATTAAATACCGAAACTCCTGCTAAAACAACATAACTACGTGATACAGTTGTAGCTGAGTTGTAGTGCTAGACAACATGTAACATGCACATGATAACACAACACATGATAGACAACTAATATCATACACGATAGCATAAATATCACAACACACGATACTGACGATAGACAACTACATGTTGTAACATACACGAGAGCATATATCACAACACACGATACTAACATACTAACGATAGACAACTAGTAACATATAGTGTACACGATAGCATAAATCACAACACACAATACTGACACTAGTAACATACATGATAACATACATGAAATGAAATAGGGTTTAATGTCCTACTGTTCTGCTTCGACTGGGCTAATGAAGACGGGCATACGCCATACAGTGTGCTATGAGGGAAATTTTGCCTGGACAGCGGCACTATGGCCTACTCTTACATCGAATTTCAACTTCAAGGGATCTTTTACGTGCATGCCAATATGTACACGGGACCTCAGTTTTCCGTCCCATCCGAACGACTAGACAGCTGTCCTTGTTAGGCCCTCCGACCTGCATTACTGACAAGGGAACGATAGGATATAACACAAGACATGATAGACAATGTAACCTACAAGATAGCATACAACACAACACAAGATTCAACACCACCAAAAACCTTTTCATTTGGATCCCGCACAAACCAAATTATTCATTCTAAACTGCGTCTCTCTTGCAGCAATCTAAACGGCCATAAATTTTTACGTCACATTTCTGACAATCCATCCTGTAATTGTGGACATCAATTTGAAGACACCAAACATTTTTTATTGAAATGCTCCTTATATTCAGATGCCCGAAATAAAACAATAAATAATTTATCGACTATTCATCGAAACACTACTGTTTTATTGTACGGAATTGACGACGTGGAAGACTCACTCAATATTTTTAAAACTGTCCATTCGTTTTTCGAAATCACCAGACGGTTCCAGGGACAACTATAAACACTCATCATTGTAAATATATTTTCACTATAATCATACTTGCACGTGTACATTGATTATTAATTTCTAAAATGTAAATACATGTATCTATATCTGACAGGGAGAGGGGTTTAATATAGGCTATGCCTGTTCCCCAATCCCTATTCAGATACAAATCTGAATAAAATATTGCTTATAAAAAAAATAAAAAAAAACACACGATAGACAACATGTAACACTATAACACAACACACCATAGACACCATGTAATATAAACTTCTAGACAACATATGATAAACAAGACAAAACGTAACACTTTGCAACAATATCACTATGTTATATATGTAATTAATTATTGATGCATGTAAACGAAAAATTGATTGCAGCATAATAATTATTGAATTGAAACAAGTCTAATACATTTGTATATTGATGGTTAATTTAAATTTCTTTCATAACTTTTATAATTGAAGGGTGAGCAGGAATTTATTCTTTAGTTTTATTCTAAAATTGAAAATCATAGTTCAGACAAATTGCGTACTGAGGTTTGTTTGCAAACAGATGTTCTTAAAATAGTACCAAATGATGAGTTAAGACAAATTGCGTACTAAATTTTGTTTACAAACATAGAGATAATCTTTAAAAAACTACCAAATGATGAATAATCTTTTGATGTATGTGTACAACTTTTGTTTTATTAGTGGTATGAGATGTTTAGAGAAATAAACAATTATTTGTTAATGTGTAACAGTACTTACATGTAGGTTTGTTTACAAAAAGATTCTCTGATGAGTCATAAAGCAATGTACAGCCTTAGTTTTGAGAAATAAACAATTATTGCATACTAAATAGGTTTGTTTACAAAAAGATGATTCTAAAATCGTAACAAGTGATGAGTAATAGTGGGGTGTACAGCCTTGGTTTAGAGAAATAAACAATTATTGCATACTAATAAGGTTTGTTTACAATATAGCCTTGTTTTTATTAATGGTATAGGTAATTTATTTATAAACAAACCAAGGTAACCTTTTAAAAGGTGTACTGTTCTGATATACAGTATTTTCAATTAGTAATTGCCAACACAATTAGTGTAGACACAAGACATCAGTATAAATTATTGTGGGTTGTAAAACCAACCAGGTGAGACTACTTTACTTTGTCACATGGACCGTAACCACGCCCTTTGACAAATATCCACATTTCCTTTCATATCTATAAAACTCAATCAACGTTAGCCTAGACTTAAAGAGACTTATTTATCAGTTCTTTAAAATGGTAATCTAGATAAGGTTAATGAAAAATCAATTCTTTAAGAAAAAAATCACGACAGGTAATAAGAGTAAAGGGTAGTCTTTGATAATTTTATATCCGTCTATTAACTTACTATCTTTCCTAATGTAACTGAACCACTGCTGTGAGAGACTTAGTTATATGCCACAAAATTTGTTCTTTAAAATTTGAATAAGTGTAACAAAAAATCAATTCTTCAACAAAAAAAAAATCATGACAAGTAATAAGAGTAAAGGGTAGTCTTTGATAATTTTATATCTGTCGATTAACTTACTGTACGAAAAGACCTGACAAGGACAGCTGTCTAGTCGTTCGGATGGTACGAAAACCCAAGGTCCCGTGTACATATTGGCGTGCATGTAAAAGATCCCTTGACAGTTGGAATTCGATATAAGAGTAGGCCGTAGTGCCACTGTCCTGGCAAAATTTCCCTCATAGCACACTGTATGGCGTATTCCCGTCTTCATTAGCCCAGTTCGGAGCAGAACAGTAGGACATTAAACCCCATTTCATTTCATTCCTTAATCATTAAACTAAGTTAAACCACTTTAAGGAAATTAAAGGGTAGAGTAGTAAAGTGAGATGTTAGTTGATTAGTTAGTTAATCTGTTGTTCGACTAGTTAATATATAATGTTTTATACTAGTCACTGATATATAAAGACAAGAGAATAAGATCAAAGAGTTACTTTGTATGTGAACCAGATAAATGATAAATGAATACCATAGTTATATAAATAAACAACCATACATGTCTTAGTTTAAATTATTGGTGTGATTTTAGCCATATGGCTTATTATAAAATTGACACTTGAAATATTAATTTGGAATTTACTGGTTATTTACATTGCTGAAATATTAACTCATCTATGACTGTTTAGGGTTTGCTATTCTATCTAACAGATATTTTTCTGTTTTCTGTTGAGTTTTTTTAAAAAAATATTAACAAAACTCAGAAACCAGAAAAATATCTATAGGACAATGTAACGCAAAATTTTAGAATTGTCGGATACAACTAATATTTCTATTTAAAGCCTAAAAGTGGTCTGAATCCAATCCAGACATGATTATCACTAAAGGCTACTGTAGTCATTTAGAATAGAATCTTGACATATTATCAATTTAACATTAAGTTACTAGAAGTATTTGAAAAATTTTGAAATTTTAAAAAGTTAGTGGAGTAATGCACCTAAGAAATGCAGCTGCTCAGGCAAAATGTCTCCCTGGATGGCATATGCCTGTTTTCATTAGCCTTGTTGATTCAGAAAAGTAAGAAATTTGGAATGAGAAAATTTTAGTTGGGATAATGCACTTAAGAAGTGAGGAGTTCACAAGATAAAATTACAATAAATATAGATGTTTGGATCTACTCCAGAGTTATGATTAAGTTTGACAGGTTAATCAATGATCTTTCCACTTGATTAACTACAATGATTATACAATTAACTTCTTGTGTATACAGAGAATATAACATAATTTATGATAAACAATTCATTGTACAGTCATGCTTGAGTGTAGATACATGTACGTACATGGTTTCTTAAAGGTGTAAGAAGATATATTTAATTTTAAAATTCTTAGATGTTTGAAGGTAGTTAGTTGGAAAAAACATTCTTAGATTCCAAATTAATGAAGATAGCTTTTTATGTTTCAACAGATATTTAAAGATACATTATGGGAGATTCGATAACGAGTTGGCAGTTCTCACTATAATAGTTAAAAACTAGATAATGTAAAGGCAATTTGCTGAAAATTTCATTTAAATTGATCCACTATGAACCGAGAACTAAGCGATTGAAATTTCCTCCTAGCCTTGATCATCATTACTAAAGTCAGTACGATAAACAGCATAGTCTCGATTATCCATTTAATCGTTAAATCGTGAAAGAAAGTTATGCAGTAGTTCGGCTCATAATCCACTAAAGATCGCAGGCTAGCGATGCCATCTAGAAATGATTATGGTCTGGATAGGTTAATTAATGTCTAATTAATAATTTAGATAACATTTCAGGCCTAAAGAAAGTCCTGCAATAGACAGATTTAGCTCTTGCATAATGTATGTTTAAAATATCTGATTTGAAGCAAGAAATGTATTATATCTTACACACCCAACACATATGTACATTGGTATTATATGTTAAAAAGTCTCTGAACC